GTAGGAGTGTCTAATAGAGTGGACAGTGACTGGACACAGTGTTTAAAAGCTCCAGCAGCACTGCTGTGTCTGATCCACTCATACCAGCACAACACACACTAACACACCACCACCACGTCAGTGTTACTGCAGTGCTGAGAATGATCCACCACCCAAATAATACCTGCTCTGTGAGGGTCCATGGGGGTCCTGACCACTGAAGAACAGGGTAAAAGGGGGCTAACAAAGTATCAGAGAAACAGATGGACTACAGTCTGTAACTGTAGAACTACAAAGTGCACCTATATAGTAAGTGGAGCTGATTAAATGGACAATGAGCGTAGAAACAAGGAGGTGGTCATAATGTTACGCCTGATCGGTGTAAATTACATATATACTAATATGATGGTGGGTAAAAGAGAAGGTTGTGGTTTGGTGGTCACTCACTGTCCCGGAGTGAATAACACTCATACACGTATTTGTCTGCAGTGGACGCTGATGGACTCTTTCCTAATATAATCACTAATTTATCATCAGCCCTCTAGCTCTCTCAACTATCTCTCTCTCTCTCTCTACCTCTCTATCTCTCTTACACTATCTCTATATTTCTCTGCCTCTCTCTCTCAAACTCTCTCTTTCTATGTCTTGTTTACCTCTCTCTCTTTCTCTTACTCTCTCCTTCTTTCTCTTTTTCAGTTTCTCTCTCTGCCCTGACTTTCTGTCCCTGTATCTCTCTCTCTCTCTTTCTCTCTTTCTCTCTCACTCTCTCTCTCTCTCTCTCTCTCTCTCTCTCTGTCTTTCTCACTCCCTCTCTCTCTGGGTCGTGCGACCCGTGGGACAGAGGAAGTGACTCTTCATGCATGGAGACAGTAAGATGTCTGTAACAAATCTAACTGACAGCCTCTCAGATGCAGATCACGGGGCTGACAGGGACGAGGGCTGAAGCGTCGGAACTTTGCAACAATCTTAATCCATAAAGAGTGGCTCTCCGGCCCCACAGGACCCGCCGTCTCCTAGCCTGACACGGGCCAGTCCGGCTGTGCCCGACGGAAAAGGAAACTCAGCAACGTGTAACGAAGTAACAGATCACAAAGAAATGAAACACGAAGAAACATATCACAAAGATATGCATCATAAAGAAAGTATCATGAAGTAACACATCACGATGTATCACTAAATAAATATATATTTGACAAAATAACTTGTAACAAAAAAAAAATCATAAACCACTATATCACAGAGTAATGTCTTGGATTTGGGTGTCACAAAGTAACATGTCACAAAGTAAACTGTTACAAAGTAAATTATCACAATGTAAATTGACAGAGTAACATTTGGCAAAGTAATGGATTGCAGCAATATGGCACAAAATGACTTGCAACAAAGTAACATGACACAAAGTAACGTCATGAATTAACATGTCACAAAGTAGCATGTCTCAGCATAACATATCACAAAGTAACATGTCATAAATTAACATGTCACAAAGTAACGTCACAAAGTAACATATCACAAAGTAACATGTCATAAATTAACATGTCACAAAGTAACGTCACAAAGTAACATATCATAAAGTAACATGTCATTAATTAATATGTCACAAAGTAACGTCATGAATTAACATGTCACAAAGTAACATATCATAAAGTAACGTCATTAATTAATGTCACAAAGTAACGTCATGAATTAACATGTCACAAAGTAACATATCATAAAGTAACGTCATTAATTAATATGTCACAAAGTAACGTCATGAATTAACATGTCATGAAGTAACATCTCTCAGCATAACATATCACAAAGTAACATGTCATGAATTAACATGTCATGAATTAACATGTCACAAAGTAACATATCATAAAGTCACGTCATTAATTTACATGTCACAAAGTAACATCTCAGCATAACATAACACAAAGTAACATGTCATGAATTAACATGTTACAAAGTAACATCTCAGCATTCATATCACAAACTAACATGTCACAAAGTAACATCTTTCAGCGTAACATATCACCAAGTAACATGACATTCATGAAGTAATGCATTATAAAGTAACACATCACAAACCAGTGTGTCACAATATAAACTGTTCTGAAATAATATCTCACAAAGCTGCTGGTGATGTGTGGGAGGATCATGAGTCCCAGGAGACTCGCTGACTGAAGATGTGGTTCTGGGTTACATATAAAATTAACTCCTTGATCCCCGAGACTTATTACACAGTTATAATTTCATAGAATCATTATTCAATAAATATGAATTATTCTGTAGCTAGTATGAAACTAATACATTGGGGGTGGGGGGGGGGACCATGATAAGACTCATTCATACCAAACACCTGCAGAAATATCTGTGCTGATAACAGGAATTCCATACCAGCTATTAGCCCTGCAATAAACAACATACAATCTGCTGCATACAAGAAAAACCTGCTACAACTGCTTGTGAAGATATGAAGCACCAGTCCTCAAAACTAATGCTTATTATTCTTATAATTATTTACTGTATCTACCACCAAGCAACTATATAAGGTATATATTAAGTGAGAAAAATAATGATGGGCTCTATTAAGAGGTTAAAATCAAAATAACACAACTCAAAGTCACCCTACAGCCCTATTTTATTTCTCTACATCTTCATAACCCAATTAGATTTGTGACAGATGTGTGCAAGAGAGTTTAAAAGAACCCTTTAGGTGGCGCCGCTTCAGTGTCATTGATATTTCCTTGTCTTAGCTTGAGTGTTTAGAGTGGATGTATAGAATAAACATGCACTGCAGAGGGAAACTGTGCATATAGGCTGCTAGAACGAAGTGGTAAAGCAACAATTTGACTGGTACATAAAGCGAACACAGTGCAGGGTCAGAGTAACACAGTGCTAGTGTTAGGTCTCAGCAAGGTGAGTGTGTGAATGCTCAAAACACACTATTATGAGTTGACAACAGCGCTTTATCTTCACTAAAGCAATTCCATACAGACCCATCCTCCTGGCAGAGTGAAAATCCATCCTCCTCTGTGGAGGTATGACAGTCCGTACCAGACTGGACCGGAAAGGCTTATATAAATTGTTTTATTTCTGTGGGTCAATCTAGCTAATGCAAAAGTCATGTATGTCTGCTGCTAAATATTTAATCTCAGCAGCGGCGAGTGGACTAACATTGAGGTAACGTCTAGCTTTCTGAGAGCGAGTAAAAGGTGGCATTTCTGCAAGGCAAGAAAAAGAGTATGAATGAAAGAGAGAGAGAGAGAGAGAGAGAGAGAGAGAGAGAGAGGTCGCAATACTGTTGGCGTGCAGTCTTAAGGCTGCTGTTGGTGGATGTAGTAGAGAACAGCAGACTGTTTTCGGGGGAAAAATAAAAACAGCGACGTTCCCACAAGGAGTTTTTCAGCGCTCCTGCTGGCACATTACAAGAAATCACGCAAGCAAGCACTGATAAGAGCAAAAACTCCCGCACACACATGATGACAGACTCTCTTTCACCAAAAAGCAGCATCCAAAAGTAAGGCAGTCCAAACAGCAAGCTCAGAGAAGCACCTCGTTTTATGTTCACAGTGCACCGCTGACACCTACTGCTTCCTCACACAGTGGAGATAAGGCTTATTCATGCCAAACGCCTGCAGAAATGTCTCCGCTGATAACAGGATTTCCACACCACAGTTACGAGCACGAGAACTGCAAAGTAAATTAAGGATGCGATCTGATGCGGACATGGAAAGCATGCTAGTCTGTCACCTAACCACAGCTGTCATTGTCCTAAGAAAACCTTGTAAAGCCCTTTACATTGCGAGAACACTGCAAGATGAATGGATCAACCCTGCTGTGAAAAGGTAATGAAACTTGAAAAGCAGAGGAGTGATGCTTTGTAACAGTGTTATGAATAGAACAAGGCCTCTTTACTTCATAAAATATCTTATCTTGTAATCAGTGGCCTGAGCTGTTCATAAATACTCAAGCACTTGGTTATAAACACATCATCCAATGCTTATGCATGTTATGAAGTCCGTATGCAGGCAGCCTTCAAGTGCCTTAAGGCATATTAACATGTTTCAGCTTCTGAAGTTACAATTTTGCAAAGGTTACAAGGTTTTCTTACAAAACTGATGATACATGAAGCTAAAATCAACTTTGAGGAAACCTCTAATACTATTACTAGAGATTAAATGAAGTTGGATCAAAGTTCACATTGACTGCGCAGCAAAAAGTTAAAATAATAACCAGACAGAACCAAACTCTTTACCAAAACTTTATGATTCCTAACTTGAGAAAAGGTCTGATAATGTAATTACACTACAAAAATGGCGTCTTGTCAAGTGAAATGATCTTAAATCTGGTCTATTTCCCATTTTGAGATGGTTGTGCACTTGTTGTAAGATTATCTAGTTTATTTCTAGACATTTTTTTACTTGTTTTAAGTCATTTTATGAAGTAAAATGATCTGACCATACTGGCAGATAATTTTGCTGGTTTTTAAGCACATTTCTTAAAATGAGCAAAATGATCTGCCAATATGGTGAGATGATTTTACCAAATAAAATTATTTAAAACAAATAAAACATGTCTAGAAAGAAAGTAAATAAGCTTAAATTAAGCTTACAACAATCTCAACAGGAGAAATATTAGATGTATTGACTACATCTAAGATAATTTTACTTAACAAGATATCATCCTTTGCAGTGTACAAGAAAGAACTAAGAGAGTGAGGATATGCACAGTGCTAAGTCCATAATTAGTTCATTTCCCAACTTGTGGAAAACTTCTGAAACTGCTTCCACACGAGAAAAAAGTCTAGTCAAAGCTCATAACGGCTGTTGCAAATAAACTTCAATCGGCTGTAGACATGAAAAAGTGTCCTAGTGCAAGTCCCAACTTCAAAAACTTCTTCAAAAAGAGACAATGAAAGCTAAGAACGTGACACATTGCAAAGAGCAGAAAAACTTTTCCAAGACTTCATGATTAGAACTTCCGATAACGCCCCAACACAATAGAAGACCTCTAAATCAAGGCTAGACAGAACTCACCACAGTGAAGTCCTCGGCCGAGCAGTTCTGTCCGCTGAAGTTGCAGCTCTTGAGCATCTCCTCCAGCTGGTGGCCGGTGCGGTTGAAAATGTCCTGCATGTCCGGCGCTGGGTACTCCAGGTCCGTTGGCTTGTGTCCGTCTTTGTTTTTGGGCGGCAGGCCCGTCAGGTTGGCCAGGTGGTAGATGTCGGCGTCCGTGAGGGCGGAGAAGCGGAAGCGGTTGATGTTGCAGATGGTGACGGCCGGGAAGACCATCTCCGGGCTGGCTTCCTCATTCAGTGCCGTGACGTGGGGATGCTCCAGGTAAGAGATGGCGCACTTGGCCGCCTGGTAGAGGAACAGCGCCAGGGATGCCAGAAAGGCCAAAGCCCAGAGGGTCTGCCGGACCCCCAGCCGTCCAGAAACAAAAATGTGGTTAATCCCGTGGAGGGAGCAGGAGTTGGCGAACCCAGCCAGGTCTTTGGCTGGAGGGCTGCAGCTTTCCTCGATCAGGCTCTCCCTGTCCCCATCCTGCTGCTTTTTGCCCTTCTTCTGCTTCTCGTCCTCCTCGGCAAACTTGATCTTGCACACGAATTCGATCGGCATGTGGGCAGCCAGGTCTGCTTTGGACGGGATGCCTGTTTGGACAAGAGATCCAGTGCACTTTGCTTTCCTCTTGTTGTTTCAAACCAGGCTTGCAAAAACAATCTCAACTCCAGAAAGAAGAAGAGAAGGGGGTAAATAAGGTAGGGAAAAAAGGACAGACTTGCCAATGGTGCTGTAGCTCTTTCTTTCTTTACAGCGCTGCGAGAGTTTCCAGGTTTCTCTTTCGGTTGCTGCCGTTTCTTCCTCTATGTTGCTGGTAGAAAACTGCCCAAGTTTCCAGCTTTATTGCCAGCCCTGCTTCCTCTACAGTCTCGGAAGAAATCTGCCCGAGTTTCCAGCTTTTTCTTTCTGCCGCTGCTTCGTCTACAGCCCTGCCCGAGTTTCCAGCTTTCTCTTTCTGCTGCTGCTCCTTCTACAGCGCTACCCGAGTTTCCAGCTTTCCCGTCTCTCTCTCGCTCTCTCTCTCGCTCTCTCTCGCTCTCTTCTGCTGCTGCCGCTGCTGTCAGAGTACCGGATCAGCGCGAGTGCTGCTTATCAGCAGTAATACAGCTGTCAAAAAAAAAGAGAAAACACATACCCCTCCACTGCCCCTGCTCTCTGCTTCACAGGCACGGATGAAAATGCAGCATTTTTTTTTGTGACCAGAGCTAAACGAGGCAGGGGCTTCTTAATAATTCATGAGGAGGGCAACATTGTGATTATTTCCTTCTCGCTTGCTTCTCGAAAGGCTGCGCTTTCTTCCCCCCCCCCCGCTCTCCCACCTCTTTCCCTCTTTTCTCTTTCTCTAACACACCCACTCTCTCGCTCGCCGTCTCTTCCGCAGTCCGTGTGATTGCTTGATCCTCCCGTCGGTGGTGCTTTCGTACCCCTTGACCGTAATAAGTTGATGTCAAAGGTCGCTCCGCTGAACATCCGCTGCTTGATGTAAATGGCAGTGGGGGGGGGGTCACCCGGTCACTCTGGAGACCGTCTAATTGGAACAGTAATGAGTACTGTGAGATGAGCTAGCCTAAACGATCAATGTTCTCTATGGGGACACATAACACTATTGATCACGGCGAAGGATCTGTCGGAGATTACGCAAGGCAGTACAACGGTCCTTTTCTTATCAGGAGTTAATGGCAGCATCACAAGGCTCCGGCACGAATTTCAATCAGTGGCCAGCCCCATGATCTGGAAACCAGATGACGCTGGAGAAGTTCAAAATAAACAAAAGCATCAATTCTTTCAGCTTTACTTTCTCCGTCGAGCGCACGGCCCGGATGTTTCTTCTCCAAATTGCAGAATAAAATTATGCAAATGATGAGAAAGAAAAGCCTCCCAAATGCCTGTTTAAGCGGGATTAGCCATGCGGGTCACATCTCTCAGGGACGGGACCTTTCAAGAAAGAAGCATTTAAAGGTGAATTAAACGGCTTTCAGCACATGTTCATTCGCGTCTGAAAGATTGCAGAGCAAAGCTGAGCACAACACAGGATTATTGTGTAAAATGAAGCTCAGAAACAGTCGGGGTTAAACGCCTCTCCATCTCTCTATTCTCTTCCCTATGTTTCTTTAATAACCTGTAGAAATGAGGAATGAGATAACAAGCAAACTAAAATAAAAAACAATAAAAAAAAATCACCTAGTTTAAACTGAATGTAGGTCCAGGTTTTAGCTGCTCACTCTCATAATGTAGTAGTTATTGTTTAATGTATAGTAATTACTGTGTAAAGAGTCTTACTATAATAACTGAATAATAACTCAATTATAAGCCGTACTACTATACTATAGTAGTACGGCTATAATACTATAATAACTGAATAATAACTGAATTATAAGCCGTACAATGTGGCAGTATTAGTGCTCATGCTAGGAGAAATGAATCCTGTGTGAATGCATGAAAGATCACTGTCAGACACATGTATAAGACCTTTGTGTGCTCATGTTTACATCTCCATAAATATTTCCAAGTGTTTATGGAAGTTATAGTCAATTATTCACAGTCAACAAATTGTCAGCTGTTCTAACTACATGGGGTGTGAAATACTGAACAACACTTTCCAGCCCAAGTCATCTGCTCAGCATGGTTGAGTGAGCGTCGCTGGTTCACTTCTGGAGTTTATGGTAGTTGTGGTCCATCAGGTAATTTGAAAAGAAGAGAACAAAGATGTTTATAAAGAGCTTCACAAAGTACAAAACACAATGTTTATTTACTCTGAGGCTGTAATTTTATATTTAAAGCCAACAACAAAGTCCTCCCATAGATGTCTTTGGAATCAGGAGCTGAAGCGCCACCTTCTGTCTCTGCTGCCTTTAATATCTTTAATCTGTATAATTTTTTTAACCTGGTTTCAATAATAAAAAACTGATGAAATTTTCCAATTTTCTCCCTAATTTGGACGTAACCAGTTCCACCTAGTTAGGACTCCACTAATTACACGATGCCACCAGCGCTAAGAGGATGAAAACTAGCACAGGCTTCCTCCGAGTCCTGTGAAGCTCCACCACATCTTTTCAAACTGCTGCTAACGCAACGCTGTTGGACAGCTGAACACGCTCAGAGGAAAATGACAACCGCCAGTTCTGTTATGTCAGCTAACAGATGCCTGCACTGGCTAGCATCATGCTGGGTGGTGGGGGAAGACAAGGGGGCCATCCTACCCACCCAGAGAGAGTGAGGCCATGGCTGTAGCATCACTGGGGATCAAACTCACCATCTCCTGATGATAGGGCCAACATTGCGCCACTTGGGAGCCCCGTAATAAACTGTTTTTTTTTCCCCTTTTTTAAAATGTATAACTCCAACTGTGTGCAGCACTACTGCGGCAGATTTCCCTACACTTAAAGACACAGAAAAGACAACTGTTATACTTACAATTACAATTTCTTTCCACTTTATAATGTTTTTATCTCAACGTATTCTAAAAAATAGAATTTTTGATACAAAGGTTTCAACTTTTATAGCATTTTAGTAGCATATTGCTACATGCTTAAAAATGTGATGTACAACCACACAAGTATTCATTGGAGTTCACTTTAAATAAAAGTCTAATTTAACTCTAATCTTCACAAATTCTGATTCAAATTAGGACAACAAGCAATTCTGAAAAATGGATAAATCAGGACAAAATTATAGACATATATGGATACAATTATTATTTAAAATCATTTTTAATAATTATTTTCATTTAGTATATCTAGGACAGTTTCCATTTTTGCCTGAGGGAGGCGATGAGGCCTCAAGGCCTTTACACACAGAGTCACAGTTTTATACAGAAAAAAAGTCAAAACAAAAGTTTTGAAAACTGACAAATTCATTCTAATGGCATGTTTTTTATATCAGAACTGCTAATATGCTAAAATAACTGCAAGTAAACTGACAAACGGCTGCTCATATTTAATTTGCTCCTTCAAACTTCACCATGCATACTTAGCTTCTTCTTTGTAGAGTTTCAGCTGCGAGTCTGTGATTAACTTATTTTAGCAGAATGGGCTGTTACCCAGGGTCTGCAGCTTAAAGTTTCACTGGCCAAAAGAAAAATGATAACTTTGTGACCGTTACTACTCAGCGGATCAATTTTTTGGCCCTTATCATCGTCTTCTTGTTAACGTTTAATAACACGGCACATCAGAGCAAAAGTGTTGGGAGTGTTAAAAATCAACTGGCGTGAAAAGAAAACAATTAAACTAACATTTAAACTGAAACGATGTGGTGCTTTGACTGAACAGGACTCTAATCACTGTTGTTTGTTCTGAGATCTCCCCCTGACTGCGATTGGGCCACATGGTGTCACTGCATGGAGCTTCTCGTGCTGCTGAGATGTACACAGAGTTCTTTTATTAAGTATATTTACAGCAGTGTGTTTGACAGTATTTCACTTTCATTGAGTCCTTTCATTGTTTTAAGTAAACTGCTGACTTAAGAAAGAAAAATACTTCTGATGGTGTTTATCTGCTAACACTTTACTTTTTATATTGACATGAACATGCTATGGTAGATAGATCATAAGCTGTTATGAGTTGTTGACAGATTATGTTCAGTAATATCACAGTGCTATATTACCATTACCAGTAACTATCTTAGCAGATAAGCAGATAAACCATGAACACTCAAAGAGCTCTTTGAATGATTAAAGGGTGCTTTAGTGAAGAAAATGGTCCTATGTAGAACCATGAGCACTTAAAGAACCCTCTGCATGATCCTTGCATCTTAAAAGTGTTCTTCACATTGATGGAGAATGTGCTGTAAATGGTTCCACGTTGAACCTTTTTGAAAAGGGCTTCCATATCGCACCATAAAGGCTTCTTCTAAAGCATCAAGCTTGACATCGTAATAATAGAAGAACCCTTTCTGGAACTCAACCTTTTTCAAAAAGGTTCTAGACAGAACCATCTACAACACATTCTCCATCAATCTGCATGCAAAGGGTTCTTTGAGTGTTCATGGTTCTATATTGAACCATTTTCTTTACTAAAGAACCCTTGAAGAACCATTTTTTGAGAAGGTAGTTTGAATATCGTTGATTCAAAATAAACTCAACGTTTGACAAACAGAGCTTCAGTAAGTTCTGTTCGTCTGCTGATGTTAGCATGCTAGTTTTTTCTAGCGTCCCCCTCTTTTTTGTGAGTTTTTATTTGTGTGGTAGAGATGACAGTGAGAATACGGCTGGAATGACAGAGAGTCTGGGGAGTGTTAGAGGGGCCGTGGGAATTCTCTTTCCCAACACGGCTCTCCGGCACTCACCTCACTCAACCCTCGTATAAACCCACAGCAGCCTGAAACCCTCTCAGCACCACCACCCGTCACACTACAGTCTGCAGAATTTACAGACACACACTGATCTAATTCCACCCTGTAAAGCAGATACAGTAGCAGTTTGGATCTGTCTGACTGCATGTTTACTTTTTTTAAGGTATGCAAAAGGTTTGTGCGTACATGCTTTTCTAAAACAAACAGAAATAGTGATGTTGACACCTGTGTGTGAAGTTATTTCCAAAACAAACTGTATGTTTTTCAGCATGTTGTCTTCAGTACTGCTGGAA